TAACACTCAATCTTCAACAACGACAACACCAACAACCAATCCAAAACATGGAAACATCACAACAAGAAACTCCAAGCAGGAAAAACATTCAAACTTTGAAGCGAAAAAAACAAAGTTTCAATGCCAAGCAACCGATAATAAACACAGAAAACAATCTTCTGCCAGCACAACAACCAGCCCAAGACATTTATCAGCAACCATCACAGCCTCAAACCACACACAACTTTATAAGCAGCAAAATTTTTACAAATTCACAGCAATTTACACAATATCAACAGCAATTTCAGCACCAGCAACTTCTGCAGCTTCAACCACAGCAGCAACAGCAACTTCCGCAACAGCAATTTCAGCACCAGCAACTTCTGCAGCTTCAACCACATCAGCAACAGCTACTTCCGCAACAAAAATTTCAGCACCAGCAACTTCTGCAGCTTCAACCACAGCAGCAACAGCAACTTTTGCAACGACAATTTCCGCAACAGCACTTTCAGCAGCATCAGCAACATCAATTTCAGCAGCCTCAGCGACAGCAATTTCTGCAGCAATATCTGCAGCTTCAGCAACAACAATTTCAGCAGCTTCAGCAACCAACCCACAACATGTACCAGCAACAATCACTGCAAAACATATATTCACAGCCAAAACAATACCAGCCAACACAGCAATTCCCACAGCCGCTTCAGCAACCAACACAAAACATGTATCAGCAACAATCACTGCAAAACATATTTTCACAGCCACAACAATACCAACAGCAGCCTCAGCAACCAACACATCAGCAACAGTCACAGCAAAACATATATTCACAGTCACAACAATACCAACAGCTTCAGCAACAGCAGCTTCCGCAACAGCAGTTTCAGAAACAGCAACTTTTGCAACACACATACAACATACCTCATACTAACCAACAACAGAGCAACAACATTAACAATAGCATGAACTACTACATCAACAACTACAACAGCAGCTATGGCTACGATTTCAACAGAACTGACAACATCTACAACAATTTCAAATATTGAACTGAAATCGTCGGCATTTAATATTAAATATTTTTGTTGATATTTATGTAAATTCTTTGATTTTACCATTGAATAAATTGCATTGTTTATCCTATTATAGATTATTATTAATATAAATGAATTAAAACAAACTGGTCTTTACTAAATACTCATACTTCCTACTGTCATGTCTGACTGTTAAGTGTTACAAATTTTATTTTAGTCCGTATTTATTACGAACAATTTAATCGTAAATTGTTTTGGTCAAATAATAATAATAACTTGAATTTTAAAAGTTTAAAAGTATAATTTAATAACATTCGAATTTCGAAATGCAAGTGGTCTGACATTGAAGAAAATGTAAAGTTTGCGAGCACTCTATATTATGCAACAGTTTATCATAATAATAGTAAAATATTTTCTTTGAATGTGATGCCTGATTTACCGTGTTACGGGTGTGCACTATTTATTATTGGCTGTGTCCTACCTTAGAAATCTTTTGTGAGTAACCAGGAGTTTTTAAAGAGAACTTTTTATTTTAATTTATAACTCTCGGTGTCATGTATGAACTGAATGAAAGCCTAAACCCTGGTAAAGATGCTGTTGGTGTAACTTTTGTCAAAATCCAACGGCACTACGAAGCTTGTAATGCCCACCTGGGTCTAAATTCAGTTGCGGTCCTGCACATGTACGGACTACCACTGCCTCCCTTGAAAATATATTTATCTAAGTTGTATATGAACATATTAATTTTATAAATTATTAAATTTTTAATTATTTAATTGCATTTAATTTTGCAATTTTTGCAAATTTTTCTAAAAATCTCTTGTTATAATATCACTTTTTATTCAATCTGTTTTTAAATAAAAAAATGTATGCTCATCTTTGTTTTTTTAACTGCAAATGCACCATTCGTGCTTCGGACAGCATAAGTGATCTTTGGTTTCTTCGAAACTCAACGTACATTCTACATTTAATATATAACGTGATATAAAACTTGTTTCTGTTTTTATCTAAAGTGTCCAATTTTGTTTGTCCTGCTTGCATCAATCCACAACAACAAATTTGAAATAGCACTGTTTTTGAAGCCAATAAGGTAGAGAAAGTCACATCGTTTCAATATCTAGGGGATGTTCTGGAAGAGCTGAAGCTGCCGTTCGAGCACGCATACGTGCAGCCTGGAATAAATGGCATCTTCTTGCCTCTGTATTGATGCGGCGCGACATCCCACTACCACTACGATCAAGATTTATAAATATGTGATACGTCCGGTGTTGTTATATGGTGCAGAAAAATGGCCAATGACAACCACACTGGAACAACAACTTCAACGAACCGACATGAAAATGCTCCGATGGATACAACGAATTAGTCTGAAGGACCACATCAAATCTACCGAAATCATGCGTCGTGCTGGTTTAGATGATATAAAGGACGAATGCCGGCAACACCGTCTGCGGTGGTTTGGTCATGTCAAACGAAGTGGAAACAGTACCATAACTTCTCTTGCAGATGTTGAAGTACCTGGCACACGTCCCAAAAGCCGTCCAAAGAAGTCCTGATCGCAAACAATCGAGCAAGACATGAAAGCTCGAAATTTAAATGAAATTTGGCGTAAAAATTTGATGGCAAAGAAAACAACGTCCTACCTCGGAAAACCGGGTCTCTGGACGCAAAACGAAGAGTGATTGATTGATCGATTGATTTTCTGTTTTTAGTAAAATAATAAGAAGAATTTAAATTTTAAAAGTTTACTCGCCAAAGTATAATTTAATAACATTCATATTTTATAAAGTATATTTAGGCAAGAATTCATTGAAAGTGTTAGGAGAGTTGCCAGATCTGATTTTTACGGATGTGCACTATTTAATATCGACACACGGTATATGTCAGGTTGACACACCTGAAGGTGCGCCGTCGGACTGGACAAGAACCTGGCTCAAAAGTTTCGTTCAATCATGAAGAAACTGAAAAAACTAAAAGTATTTTTAAATAATTTTTTTAATAATTGGATGGAAGCAGCCTCAAAATAAAGAAGAACGCTCGTGAAGGAAAAACACTCTTGAAAGAATTTCGTTCAGGATTGGTGAGGTCATAAAATTTGAAATAGCAACTCAAGTTTTTTTAATTCAATAATTTAAAACGTTGAAATCGAGATGAACTTTCAGTAAAATCAAATTGTCAGTTTTCAATGCCGATTGTTTGATAAATTGTTGAAAGAAAGAACAACTATATTTAAATGCATGTTGTAGGATCGGCCGATATGATGCAACTAACAAAATAAATCTTTCGTGTAAAACTTTTCAAAAATTAGTGGTTTGGAATATTCGTAGAAATCTTCAATACGCTTTAAAAAAATTTTATGAACTAAAAATTATGCCTCATTATTTTACAATTGATATTAAAGTTAACTTGTAAAGAAATTAAAAATACCATAGATAAAAAACAAAATCTAACACGAAAAATTTCAGAGTGAATGTTATCGTAAAATAATTTAGTGTTATAAATTAACTTTGTACGTGAATGTTCTGTGTTACAAATCAACTTTGCTGTATGCATGGAATCAAGTTTGCCTATATAAGACGGTAGTAACAAACGTATTTATCTATCAATTAGTTTTGAAATCTTCTTCAAACTATCAATTGGTGTAAAATTTATAAACAATGGCAAATTTATTTGAAAGTGATTTCGACCTCAACGATGTTGCGGACAATGTTATGAACATATTTCTTGCCTTTAAGAAAAAGAATGAAGAGGAGGAGAATAAAAAGGAAGAAAATGAAAGAAAAAAAGAAGAAGATGAAAGAAAAAAGAAAGAAAATGAAAGAAAAAAGGAAGAAGAAAAGGTTCATAATAAAACGGGAGAATCAATTGAAAATTTTGTCGATTTAGACAACTTTGCGGAAAATGTCTTAAACATCTATTTAACAAACAAAAACCATGAGGAGGATGAAGAAAAGAACGATAAAAATAACATCAAAACGACGGATAAATCATTAGAAAATGAAATAGATCAACAACAGAACAGAAACAAGGGCGTATTGAAACATAAACCGGGTAACAAGAGGATGAAGCCTGAATCATGGTTAGACGATTTGCCAGAACAACATTCACAAAAACAGCAACAAACTCATCAACCACAACACAAACAAGCAAATATACAACAGCAACAACAGTTTCAACTACAACAACAACTTCTACAAGAGAAGGCTAAAGTAGAAAATTTTTCGTGGTTCGACAATTCGGAATCGTTGACGAATTATGATATTCAGTCAGCTAAAGAAGAACAACAAACTCAACAGCCACAACACGAACAACATAACAAACATGCACAACAAAAACTACAACAACAACAACTTCAACAAAACAGAGAGAAAGACAAAAAAGAAGATTTTTCGTGGATAAAAGATTTACCGGAAGAATTAAATTATTGTTTCCAGCCAAGCGAACAACCACAACACGAACAACACCATGAACAAGAACAGCAAGAACAGTTTCAACTACAACAACTACAAGAAAAAAACTTTTCGTGGTTCGACGATTTACCGGAAGCATTGACGATTTATGATATCCATTTGACAAATTATGATATCCCGTCAGCCAAACAACAAGCTCAACAGCCACAACACAAACAACATAACGAACATGTGCAACATCAACTTCAACAAGAGCAACAACTTCAACAAGACAGAGTCGAGGATAAAAAAGAAGATGCTTGTTGGTTAGACGATATGCTGGATGAGTTGATGAAATATGATGACCAGCCAGGACAACAACAACAAATTCAACAACCACAACACAAACAATATAACGAACAAACTCAAAAACAAGAACAACAACTTCAACAAGAGCAACTTCAACAAGGAAGAGTGAAGGATAAAGAAGAAAATATGCTGAAACGTGGACGAACTGTGATAACCAGCCAGGAAAAAATTC